ATATAATTGGATTCTGACATCCGGCCCCCTCAAAAATAAGAGAGATCCACCTGGAAGAAACAAAACAGATATAAAAGTTATTCAGGCTTGTTAGGGTACTCTGTGTGAAACTTCTTCAATAGCTTCGGGGCTCTGACATGACGTTTATGGACCCACTCGTTTTGTGAGGCAGGGAGGTGTTTCCAGGCAACTAGGTACTGAGTTGCTCCATGATATCTCCTAGAATCAAGGATTTCCTTTATTTCGAAGTGTTGTTCTCCCTCTACCATGATTGGGGGTGGTGGTGGGGGGATTTTTGGCCGTAACGCTGACTGATGCTCTCTTTTCAGCAAGCTGCAATGAAAAATTGGGTGTATTTGCCTGAGATTTTTTGGTAATTCTAATTCTACTGTTACTGGATTTATGATTCTTTTAATTGGAAAAGGCCCTATATATTTTGGTCCAAGTTTTTTACAGGGTTGTAGGGACTTTAGGTATTTTGTAGATAGGTACACCATTTCACCTATAATGAATGGTGTAGGCTCAATCCTTTTTTTATCGGCTTGTGCTTTGTATGCCTGCCTAGCTTCATCTAGTGCTTTTCTAACTATTGGCGAGGTGTTTTGTAGTTTTTCCATCCATTCTTTCAGTGATGGGATCATTGGTTCGTTTGGGGTTAATTCTGGCATGGGGCTGAAACTTTGACCGTTGGCTATTTGAAAAGGAGTGTAGCCTGTGCTGGAGTGGACTGCATTATTGTAGGCAACTTCTGCAAAAGGGAGTAAGTCCGTCCAATCACTCTGTTGGAAATTTAAAAAACATCTCAAATATTGCTCAAGTATTGAATGACAACGTTCCGTTTGTCCATCTGTCTGAGGGTGATGGCTAGATGTCAGTCCCTGAGTGGTCCCTAAGAGGGATAAAAATTCCTTCCAAAATGCAGACGTAAATTGCACTCCCCTATCAGAGATGATGCGTTGGGGTGCCCCGTGCAATCTGTCAATGTGCTGGATGAAAAGTTTTGCTAAGGCCTTTGCAGTGGGAATCTTTTGGCAAGGGATAAAGTGCACCTGTTTGGAAAACAAGTCCGTGACTGTCCAGATAACAGTATTCCCATTGCTTTCTGGCAATTCCACTATAAAATCCATGGCTATTTCTCTCCAGGGGGCTGAGGGATTTGCCACTGGTTGTAATAGTCCTGGCAATTTCCCTTGCAACCTCTTTGCAGATGCACATGTTGGGCAGCTGGCTATATAACTTTCTATGTCCTTTTTCATGGATGGCCACCAAAATTGCCGTTTAATTAAATGTGAAGTTTTTACAAATCCAAAATGCCCTACTGATTTTGTGTCATGGCAAAGGTGCATGATAGTGACTCTTTGAGTTGTTGGTATATATAACTTTTCCCCTACCCAAGGCAACCCGTCTCTCATTGTGCACACATTTTTGCTTTTCTGGAACCATTCATCTGTTTCCAAACTTTTTCTGAATTCAATTCCAGTTTGGCTGTCCAGTTGTGGTTTTAATTTGGCTTGGGTTCTTGTGGTTACTGGTGCTGCCAGTTCTGACTCTGCCATTATTGGTCTAGAGTCTGTGGTTTGTGCGCTATTATATTGGGGCATGCGAGTTAGTGCATCTGCCAGGAAGTTCTTTCTTCCTGGTAAATGTTTGAGCTTAAATTGGAACTGGTGAAAATGCTGGGACCAGCGGGCTTGTTTGGGATTGAGTTTCCTGGACATTTTCAGGGCTTCCAAATTTTTGTGATCAGTCCACACTTGGAAGGGGATTTTGTTGCCTTCCAGGAACTGTCACCACGTGAGTAATGCCCAACGTATCCCATAAGCCTCCTTCTCCCATACGGGCCAGCACTGTTCTGTTTCTGTGAGTTTCTTGGATGTATATGCATAGGGTTGCAATACCCCTTCATTGTTTTCTTGTAATAGAACAGCCCCCACTGCCACATCACTTGCATCTGCCTGTATTACAAAGGGCTTGTCCATGTCTGGGTGCCTTAGTACTGGTTCGGCAGAAAAAAGTCTCTTTAGTCTCTCAAACGCTGCTTGGCACTCCATTGTTCATGTTAGTGGCTGGCTAGGTTTTACTGAGGATGCTCCCTTCGTTTTTAGTAAGTTAGTGAGGGGCAAAGCTATCTGGGCAAATGAGGGGATGAATTGGCGGTAAAAGTTTGCAAAGCCCAGGAAACTATGTAGTTGCTTTCTTGTGCGGGGTGGTGCCCAATCTAATACTGCTTTGACCTTCTCTGGGTCCATTTCAATGCCCTGGGGGGATATGCGATAACCTAGGTAGTCTATCCTTTCCTGGTGGAATTCGCATTTTGAGAGTTTGGCATATAGGTGGGCGGCTCACAGCTTCTTTAAAACTGCTCTGACAAGGTTGACATGTTCCTCTTTTGTTTCAGTGAAGATAAGAATGTTGTCCAAGTAAACAAGGACCCCCTTAAACAGGTGCTCCCTTAGAACATCTTTGATTAATTGCATAAGGGCCACCTTGTAATCCAAATGGCAAGACGTTGAATTGATAGCATCCCATGGGGTAGTTAAATGCAGTCTTTCATTCGTCCCCTTCCTTAATTCTCATGCGATAGTAAGCTTCCCTTAGGTCTAGTTATGACAGTTATGCAGTCAACATCATCATACATGCAAACAAAATACAGCTACCCATTATTTTCCTGGAACATAATTATGGGCTACCATCTGGGGGAAGTATGTATTTATGTACAGTAGTAACAGGCTTAGTTCCTTGGACCATCAGGAAGAGCCAGTAGGTATAGGAATTTCTCACTATTCCGTTGGACTCTTTTATTCAGCTGAATAAGAAGGGCTAGAAAAGATAGGAGAACATTTTAGGGTTTACTAGACCCACACCTCCTTTCTTCTCCCTGCCAGTGATAGAATTGGAGTTAGAAAGGACTTCTTGCCTTGAGGATGGAGCCCATTTCTGTGGACTCTCCCCTGACAAACTTGCCCTCACATACAGTGAATATTAGTGGGTCAGTGAGACTACAAATGGCAAAACTATTAGCTCTGGAAAGAAAGTCAATTATTAATAATGTAGTTCTTTGCTCAAGAACCACAGGGAGCAGGCTGAGGTCAGCTGTATTTCTAAAAGTGCATTGAAGTCTAGAAATAATGTTGAGCTCCTGGTATTACCCCAGAAATGGTCAATTATCTTGTATAATGAGTACTGCATGTGCAGAGAGGGAAATAAGGATATCTCGGGGACAAACTGACATGTTGTTTAACAATAAAGTGTCAAGCTATGAAAATCCCTTGCTTCAGAGCTGTCACGATGCTTCTAGCTTGCCTACAGTGGGGAGGGGAAGGTTTAGTATGCACAGGTGGTTGCTATCAGTGTGAGAGCCATGGTCATTGAAGAGATGTTTTGGCAAATTGAAGTTTTCTTCTCAAAAAATGTGAGAGGGGAGGGAAGGTTTTATGCTTTTAATTAACTTTTTCCTGCCATATTGCCATAGCTGGTATTTTTTCTACTGTGCTGATATGCTATGCGTACTAAAGCTTTACATAAGAGATCACAATGTGGATTTAATTTGTTGGGCTTTTTAACTGGAACCTTGACATAAAATGAAATAAGATAAAGAATACAATAATATTCACCATATTATGGCCATATTATGATGCACATTATGGACCCAGTGTTAGATTCATATTAAATATTTCAATATTTACCTGGAACATAATTGTGGGCTTCTAGCTGAGAGAAGCATGTATTTGTAGCAACAGACATGGTTACCTGAATCATCAGAAATATTGAGTAGTTGCAGGAATTCCACACAGACTCTTTTATCCAAATGAATGAAAGTCACTAAAGGAGATGGAAAAAACATGTTGAGGTGTATTAGGTTATCCCACCTCCTTTGAACTCCATGCTGTGATAGAATTGATTTGAGAAAGAACCCTAAACATGAGGGATGAGGATAAAAGCGGAAAAGGGAAATCTAGCTGATTTCTGTGTTACATGTATCCTGCCTACGTTGTAAAAAATGCTGCATTAAAAGGCTAATAAAGAATGGATATATGTAAACTATTAGTCTTAGACTTTACTCTGGAAATTACTATTTGTCTTTTAATAATTCTTTTCAGTGAAGTCTGATTCATAGCTGAGATTTTAACATTTTATAGGATGATTTATGCTACTAGTTAAATATTTACATCCCCTTATAAATTTAGACATTGTAATAAAAGAGAAGTAGAAAGTATGTGAATGAAAGTTGAGAGGGGGGGAATTAAATGGGTTCAGGCTTGTATGGATACTGGTTATGCAAATTATGTTTTAAACTGTGTACATTGTTAGATCACACCCCTTTATTAACATAGGTATAATAGTGTCCACAATAGTATCCCTCACATGTTGGCTGTATGTGTTTGTCTGCATCAGGTCCTTTGTGACTCACCCTCTGATAATGTGGTTTTATTGTGTAGTCTATCTATTTGTTTAGATGGTATCTAAAATCAATTTCATAACATCTGTTGGTCTGTCTATTTAACAAAAAGAATGGGCCAGGAAAGGATCCTGTCTCTCTTGCGGATTTCCTATTACTACATCTTTATTTCCTTTATAAGATCCAGGCTGTGCTGATATTAAGTCACCAGACAAAGTCATTCTTATTCTAAGTTGTATCCAATGGTATTTAACTTGAGAAAAAATAATCTGAACAATTTTTTTCCTGCTCTTTTCCAAGATCTTAGTGAATAGCTTAAATTTGATTTTATACTATTTCTGCCCAAGCAACTACATTAGCTGGAAGACATTAATGGCAAAGTAATTGCTACAATAAATAATTAAATTGAAAGGGAAGAATGAGACTGTGTGAAATTATAGCATAATCTCTCTCTCTCTCCCTCTGCCCCCCCCCTCTCTTCATACCAGTAGTCACAGGAATATACTGCTCCCAGGTACTTTTTAAAGAAATTGCACAACGTCTGCAATGCTCATTTAGCTTTATTTCAAGAAATATTTGCCAAATTTTATTTCAATGCACAAATGTTTTAAAGTTTGATAGGTAGCAATTTGATTTATATAAAGAAAGATAAAGCAATAGCAGGCGGTAATCTCAGGTCATTGGCCATATCTTGCAGCTATTCATTATCGCAGATGGAGATGGCATTATTTTCCCTTTCTGCTATACAAGTGAGAAAAAATAATAAGTTGATCAAAGTTAGTTTAAAGTAAATTCTTTGCCTTGCAAAGCTTTGTGAATGCAAACAATATCAGGCAGAGAATCTCATTATGTACTGTATCTGTAGTATCTTTATTAGAGGAGAGTTTTCTTACCGTCTACAGCACCTCTGTCGCCCTGGACAGTGCCCGGGAATATTATGGCCTGGACGACAGCGGGGCCTGCATATTCCATGACACCCGTGGTGGGCATTCCCTATGAAACGAAAAAGAGGAGACAGGTAAATGATGAGTAAAGATTCCTTGATATTTAAATACATTTTTCCTTCCAAGACACTATTTCTTCTACAGAATTGCAGGATTCCTTTATCAATTTATAATTTTATTCATTTATAACATAAAAATAAAAAGCAAATAGTAAGGAACAACAATAGGGAAAGAGGAAAAAGGGAAATGTGGAAAGGAGAGGGGAAGAAACAAAAGGCGTTGACTTTCAATTCATCTGTTGCTGTAAAATAAGGCATTAAAATTGAATCTCAGCTTTTTACATTTCTGTAGTAGTATGAACTAGCCATTTCTCTATCAACAAGTCAGTCTAATCAGTACACCCCAAAATCATAGTATCATTTTTTCCACCTCAAGCAGAAAGTCCAGAAGCAGTTTCCAAGTAGAAACAAAAGTACTTATATTCTTTTCTTTTATCAAAACAGTCAGTTTAGCCATCTCTGCTAGCTCCAGCAGCTTTTGTAACCATTCATCCAAGGTGGGAATGGAAATACCTTCCAAGAATTGCAGGATTCCTAGGACTACAGCAAGTTTTCTCTGACCACAGAGATCCATTTCTGCTGATCTCCTGCAGCAGCTCAAATGAATCAACTATTAACCCAGGCTTGAAGTCTGACTCAGAGATGAATTAGCTGGTAAGCCTATATCTATTAATGTAGGAGGGAAGAAATAATCTGGTTCACATGAAGGATAGACCTTGCTGTGATATATTTCTCTCCAGTATTGCCCTGGATTCTTGCTGAGTTACAGTGGCCAGTTGCATTGTGTGTTTTGGATGAAAACCTTGAGTGAGAAGGTTTAACTTCCTTTAAACTTTAGGACCTGGTTTTCCTTTGGCTTTCTCTCTCTTCTCTTAATGTTTCTATCAGGTTCAGAGAGGGAGAGGGGGAGGGAGAGAGGGAGAGAGAGAGAGAGAGAGAGAGAGGGAGAGAGAGAGACTGGTCCAAATTCACTCAGTCAGCTTTCAGGCCCAAGGTTGGACTAGATCTCAGTATGCAGAATTGCAGTGTTTTGCTCTAATCAGTAGATCAAACTGTTTCTCCATTGTGCCTCCTTATTCAAATAGAACATATTTGGCTGAGAATTTGGTAAACCAATACTAAAGTGAAGCAAATCAACAAAAATAAGCTACAATAACAAAAATCCCAATAAAGTTCTTTCAAGAATTGTGAATCAAAAGAAAAAGCAATAGCATATTTTTCAAATGTTTGGAGGCTCATGTTGTCAATAGTCTATACTGTTCAAAGCTATTTCTGTAAAGTAAAACAAAAAGATGTTGAAGATTATCCTGCTTTCAGTGATGATCATATTTCTTTAAAAAGGAGTGAGTTACCAATCCTTTGTATTCTTGTTTCTTACCTGGTTCAGACAGGAATGCAAGGAAAAGAAATGCAAACAGCAGATAAAGGATCTTCATGCTGAGACTAGTTCTGGACCAAATCTTAATCTTGAGACAGACATGGCTCTCTATTTATGGAGTTATAATGATTGCATCATATTACCTCAGTGAACTATTGCAAAATAGTTCTTACATAAGGCAATGGTGCATCTTCCTTGTATTGAAACACTCCTGTTTGTTAGCTGTTACAAAAGCCCTTGGAAGAGCAGCAGACTTAGTTGAACATCTAATGATGATGACAATTATTATTGCATTGTTACAGTAACCAGGAGATCACAATGCTATAGCAGAGTAGTAGTTTGGCTTGCCAGGTACCAGCCCTGTTATAGGACACACTTGTGCACTTCCCAAGGTGCACCACAGGAGGGTGAGCTGGCTTTTCACCAAAAGTGGCTCTTCAAACAAGCAATGAGAAGATTCAAACTATCAGGAATCTGACTGACTGCAAAGAACACCAGCTTATCTCCCCCCTGAAGTAGTACCCACTTGCATCAAACATGTTTTTGAATTGATAGGTGAACAGAAGTTTAGGTGAATAACAGAAGCGCACTCTGTCATGCTAGGGCTTGAACCAACAGAGCTGAGACTATTTCCAGTGTCATTAAGCCACTGAACCATTACATCTCACAACAAAGAGGTATATACACGATTATGTACACACACACAACACAGAGTCATGTAGTACCATGGATATACTGCCCCAAACCCTCTTTAAAAAGTCATACAACTGCAATGCTTATTCATCCTTAATTTGCTTTTTGTTTTTTGCCAAATTCAATGCACAAATGTTTTAGAGACTGATAGACAGCAATTTATATAAAAGAAGATAAAGCAATAGCAGGTGGAGATGCCAGGTCATTGGCCAGATATCCAGGCCTGTAGATAGATATGGCATTATTTTCTTGAGTAGCAATAGAAATGAGATAAAAAATAGGTTAATCAAAGTGTGTTCCTTCTGTCCCCTAAACCAGAAAAACAATTCTTTCCTGCCCTCCTTTCTACACAAGATTTTTCTTGAAACCCTTTTCTTGTTCATGTCAATGCCTTGTAAATATCAGGCAGATTGTCCAAATCTACATCTGTAATGTCTCTATTAGGAAAGGGTTTTCTTACGTTATACAGCAGTGTTCCCTATTGCAATCTACTTCTCCAAGTGAGATGCTGTTACAAGGACATTGGGGATAACAGTTCCCTCCTTCACCAAGACACAGGCGGCCAGCATTCCCTGTAAAAAGGAAAAGGTAAATGATGAGTAAAGTTACTTTGATATTTACATACATCTCTGGTTCCAAGAAACAATAACCAATGCAGAATTCCTGTGGCTTCAGGCAGTTTCATCTGATTAGATGAATCAGTTTCTGCTGCTCACCTTGCAGCACCTCAAATAAATCACAAATCAAGCCAAGTCTCAACCCTGGCTCAGAGAAGACTTGGCTGGCATGTGTGAACTATTGAGGTAGCTGAGGGGAGATATTGCTTTGATCTCTCTCTCTAACTCTCTCTCTCTCTCTCTCTCTCTCTCTCTCTCTCTCTCTCTCTCTCCCTCCCTCCCTCCCTCCCTTCCTCCCTCCCTCCTCCCCCCCTCTCTCTCTCCCCACTATTACAATGGATTCTTGCTTGCTGGAAAATAACCTTGAGTTACAATGGCTGGCTCTAGTAGGTGTTTTGGATGGAGAAAATCTGGATGAGAATAGATAATTTTCTTTTAACTGCAGGACTTGATTTTCTTCTGGACTTTTTCCTCTTTGCTTAATGTAGAAAACATTTCCACTGTTACTGTTGCGTCCTTCGCGAAATGGCAATGACACGAGAGGCAGTTGTAGTTCTCAGGAACTTCTTTATTCAGTTCAGCATACTGGTTACAAGACGCCGACAACGCCCAAAATTCCCGGACTCTTTTATAGGCCATTCCTGGGTCAATCTGCAACTTTTGGCGCGCCAGCACCTGCGCATGCACACACATACTGGCGACAGCCAGTCTGGTCCCGGGCAGCTTGCACCTGCCCAGGACCGTTTGCAATGCCCCGAGCCTGCTTCCACAGGCTCAGGACATAACACCCCTCCCCCCCGGCTAATACTATTAATCATCCAATAATGACACATACCCATTGCGAGCGTAGTGCCATACTACCTAATGTCAGGTATTCCCTTGTTCTATCAGTCTCAGTGTTCTCTGTTAACTCTGTTTTGCCAGTAGTGTTACAAAATCCTCTAAATACTTAGGAAATCTTCTGGCTCTCTGTGATCTCCTAACCTCTGGGTACCTGTCAAGTACCCCTTGACTGAGGGGTGGTGCATACCTGTCCCCCTTGTTACACCCTGGTGATTCCCAAGGACCGTGCTCCAATGCCTGGCCTGCTTGCTTGCCCACTGGGCTCGTCAGGCCAGGGCTTCTTTCTCTGCTTGACCTGGTTGTCCTGCCTAGCTGTAGGCTCTCTGGCCCCTCTAAGTGACTGTCACTGTTGGGTGATTCTGTAGAACTTCCTAGGTCCGTCCAAGACCTGTCAGGAGGTTGTCTGTCCCCTTTTTCCCATTCTGTCCCCGGGCTTGTGGGGTTTTCAGTGCTATACCAAAACTCAGTTGTCTCCTGAATGAAGTCAGAGGTGTTGTAGTCGGGATTTGGTTCCTCGACCACCTCCCTGTGTGCTTGCCCCCTTCTAGTGACAGGGTTAGTGTCGGGCCAACTAGAGGGAATGTGTGCCAGCTCTCTTGCAGGGTGTGGTTTGTTTGGACGCTCCCGGATATCCTCCCTGACTGGAGTACTGAGTGATCCGGGTGAGTAGTGATTATGCCCCCGGGGTGATTCCCTGGCTGGAGTAGGCACTGATGCCTGAGTTCTAGTTGGGTTCCGTGAATTCCTGTTTGGAGCACTTGCGGAATTTTGGAATGAGCTGTCTGTAGCTTCCTCATTAATGATGGGCAGCAGCCCGTACTCTTCCCTTTGCCCAAAGGGGTCCCCCTCCCCCCCTGGAAAACACCCAGAAGTCTTAGTGGGAAGGCCCCATCTAGGGCGGAGCTGGTTGATGTGTCGACGCAGGACACGACCATTGTCCAGGGACACCTCATAAGACAGAGGACCTGTGACCCTGGATACAGCAGCGGGGACCCATGAATGACCAGGCCCATAATTATGAGTCCAAACCGGGGCACCCACAAGCAGTTGTCTAGGTGCCCTGGGGTGTGTGAGAGAAGAAGGCAGTCTGTCCGGATGCAACCGGTCAAGCTTGGTAGTCAGTTTGCGCCCCCAACAAAGTTCAGCTGGGCTCCTCCCCATAGAAGTGGACGGTGTAGTGCGATAAGAAAGGAGGAAGTCAGCCAACCTGTGATGCCAGTCTCTGTAGGTAATTTTCTTCAAGGCGTCCTTGGTGATGCGAACCATGCGTTCAGCCATACTGTTGGTGGACGGGTGGAAAGGTGCAGAGGTGGCATGACGAATCATGTTAGCCTGTAAGAAAGCTTAGAATTCGGAAGAAGTGAATTGAGGGCCGTTGTCAGACATGAGGACGTCTGGAAGCCCGTGTGCAGCAAAAATCCCCCTCAGTACTTGAATAGTCTTTGCAGTGGTGGTGGAAGAGACAGGTACAACCTCAAGCCATTTTGAATGGCTATCAACTAGGACCAAGAAGAATTGACTCTGAAAGGGCCCAGCGTAGTCAATGTGCACCCTAGACCATGGAGACTATGTTTCCTCCCATCTATGTACAGGAGCTTGGGGCATTTCGGGCACGAGCGTTGACAAAGGTGGCATGCGTGCACCTTAGCTTCAATGTCTCTATCTAACCCAGGCCACCACAAATGGCTGTACGCAAGCGCCTTCATGCGTACAATGCCAGGATGACCCTTGTGGAGGGAATCTAAGACCCTAGTCCTCATTGAGGTAGGAATGGCAACTCTGCTTCCCCAAAGCAGACAACCCTGGAAGGTGGACAACTCATTCCTTTTGGACCAGAAACTCTGAAACTCAGTACCAGGACAGCTCTCTGGCCATCCAGATAAAACCCACGAAAGGACACGTGAAAATGTGTGATCTGTGGCTAATTCAGCGTCCACATCCCTGGCAATTAAAGGAGACTCCGGCAAGGCCTGAATGGAGAGAAGATTGATAGTTGGTGCAGGGTCAGCTTCTATTACCGGCAGGGGTAACCTACTGAGGCCATCAGCATGGCCCATTTCCTTTCCAGGTTTGTGAAGTAAGGAGAAATCATAGGCAGACAGAAAGATAGACCATCTTAGCATTCTGGGGGAGAATATTTGGGGAGTTTGCTTACGTGTGGTAAACAGTCCCAACAAAGGCTTATGGTCAGTGAAGACCGTGAAGTGCCTGCCATATAAAAAATCATGGAATTTTTTAATTCCAGCAACAACAGCTAAAGCCTCCCTGTCTATTTGAGCATAATTACGCTCAGCAGAAGACAAGGTTCTGGAGTAATATGCAACAGGAACCTGAGTTCCATCTGATCTGAGGTGGCTTAGTACAGCTCCTACCCCATAAGGAGAAGCATCACAAGCGATGCACACAGGAAGGGATTCATTGAAATGTGCGAGTACACTGTTAGAAGTGAGTAAGACCTTGACCTCATTGAAACTTGCTTCGTGTTTTTGTGACCACTGCCACACTGCCTGTTTGTCCAATAGCCTGTGAAGAGGCTCAGCTACACTAGCCTTATGTGGAAGAAAGAAATTATAGAAATGCAGAAGGCCCAGAAAAGCCTGTAGTTTGGCCTTAGACTTCGGCCTAGGAGCACGCATAATGGCTTTCAGTTTGGATTCAGCAGGGTGAATCCCAGTAGCATCAATTTCGAATCCCAGAAAATCAGTAGAAGGCACCCCAATTTTACATTTAGTCCTTCTTAAGTTTGAGGCCCTTTTTCCTGAACCTTAGCAGAACAGCCCTTAATCTCTCAACTAAATTGTGTGTAGAGTCTCCTGCAATTAAGACATCATCAAAATAGGGGCAAACCCCCGGTATACCGCATAGTGTGTTTTCCATTACACTTTGGAAAATTTCAGGAGTGACATTTACTCCAAATTG